TGAGACGGCTTTCAGACTTGACTGGAAATTATGTTTAAAATTTGCACTGCTCAATTTCTTCCAGTTTGCCTCCATCGCTAATCTAGTTGCTATTTCTTTAGAGAGAATGCACGCAACATTATGCCCTTCAAGGCATCTTTTCTTGAAAAAATGGGTTTATCTAATTATAATAGTTGTCATTTGGGTAACGGCCGCCATCAGAGAGGCTATTCAGATTGCACTGATGACACATGGACATCCTGAATTAGAAATGATACTTAATTCTACCTTATATACACTGTTTTACATAATTGCTGTTGCTCTCATTTGCATTTCATACATTTCCATTTTTGTCAAGGTTCGACGCAGTCCGCTCCCCTTCCCCCAAAGAAATGGAGTGATCAACCGCGAACGACGCATAACTTCCACCCTCTTCATTGTTACGATTGTATCCCTTTTGGCGTTGCTATCCTTTATAGTATATTTGTGTGTGTGACCACTTTTATCCATACTTTCACGCAAGAATGATAGTTTTAGTGTTTTTCTTCCACAATTCGTTAGCAAATCCTATCATATACGCCATGAAGATGCAGGGAGTCCGCGCAGGCCTGGTAGAATTATTTAGCAGGTCTACAAACGACGAAAACGCGGCCACTTTTCCACTTCGACGTAACTGAAGCGACAGTATCTGGTCTATGCATGTTTCCCTTCAGTTATCCCCACTTTCAATGGTGAATGCAATGATACTCAGCGTAAAAAAGCCTTCTCTCATGGGTAGGACTCGTCTCGTTTGGTTAGCGTACAGTAAATGAAATGATAAAGTTACAAAAGGACATAAAAAACAAGTACGTCCTGTTCAAACAGGATTAGAAAGGGCGTCTAATTTAAGCCATAGTTCAGTTGACATTTACGTTCGGGGAAGGGCTTGCGTTGCCTATTAAAAGTGGGAATTGGAGCAAATCGGTGTGAGAGTGTTGTCAGAGTGGTAAGAGAAACTGTGATTCGATTCAGTTTCGAAAATTCAGTGTCTCAAATCCAGTTAGAAATGGCAACGTCTGTTTACTTAACCAAAAATGTCATTTAAAGTTTGACTCAGTATTACTCGCCAGATGAAGCCATTATGGCTCTTGATAAAAATGATTGGTCACCACTTTTATTAATAATACATATATGCAATAAAATGGCGCAGCCGGTCTAGCAAACATTTGTCTTTTGTGCCCTAATTGAAACGCGAGTACATCTGACACGTAGACAGACGAGACTTGTGTCTTGTCTCTCGTCAATAGCGTAACGTTGCAATGGCCGTATTCACACTACAGACGGGTTATCCATTGGATAATTCGCGTCAGACAGATAATATGTCTTAATTTAAAAATGGAACGGTCTTAATTTTGGATGGACAATCCGCCTGACTTTATTCATCTCTTTTTCCGTCAGTTTTGACGGATCTTGAACATCAGGGGAAGATCTGGCAAAAGTGAAAAACTGCACCCAGAAAAAGATTTCAACTGGCAAAACACAAAGGTTAAAGTGCTCGGAGTTTGGGTATCAACTGATCTTGAAACTACAATCAAACTTAACTTCGTCGAGAAAATAGAAAAAATGCGGAACTGCTTGGGCTGCTGGTCAGGTCGAAGACTAAGCCTTATAGGGAAAATAACAGTTCTTAAGAGTCTGGTTGCCTCCCAAGTAATTCATCTTTTGTCGCCTCTTCAAACCAATGCTCAAATTATAAAACAATTAAATGATCTCTTTTTTGACTTCCTTTGGAACAGTAAAGGCGATAAAATCAAGAGAAACGTTACCACACAAAATTATGGCAACGGAGGTCTTAGAATGATCGACATTTCTTCTTTTAATAAAGCCCTCAAGTCCGTGTGGATAAGAAAGTACCTGGACGAAAATAACAAGGGGAAATGGAAAATTTTTTTCGACGCTGAGCTCGAAAAACTTGGAGGCCAAACTGTTTTTAGGGGCAACCTTGAAATAAAAGACTCGAAGAAGCTTGCTAACAATCTTAGTCCCTTTCTGAAAGAGATTCTCGAGATATGGTCTGAATTAAACTATCAAGGTTCAATAGAAACGGTAGAGTCCTTCCTCACACAAAGCCTGTGGTATAATTCTTTGATTAGAGTTATGGACAAACCGGTCTACTATAAAAGTTGGTATCAAATAGGCATTTCTCAGGTGAATCAAATCGTTAAGGAACAACGAAGTACTTTCTTGTCACCAACAGAATTTGAAACAAAGTATCATACAAAGGTTTGCCCTTTGACATTCTATGGAATGACATCTACCCTCCGAGAGCTCTGGAAAAATCAAAAACTGCCAAGTGTACCACTAAACTGTAAAGAACAAGAGTCTTTCACATCAGCCTTTTTAAAATCGAAAAAGCCCAGCAGACTAGCTTATCAAAAACTGGTGGAATTAAAATGTAACCATAAAATTTCTAGTCAGGAGAAATGGAGCAAAGTTTTCCCAGAGGCTCGTGATTTAAACTGGCATAACGCATATATGACCGCTTTTAAATGTACCAAAAGCACCAAACTGACTGAATTTCAATTTAGATTCCTTCATCAAACTTTGGCAACAAACGTATCTTTAGTCAAAATGGGATACAAAGATGATATTAGGTGTTCATTTTGCCATGAAGAAGCTGAAAACTTCGCGCATCTTTTCTGGTTCTGCAGCAAAATAGAACTTTTCTGGAAACACCTTATTGCCTTTCTAAAGGATGGTAAACTTTTACCCAACGACTATCTCCTTAGCAGTCTTGTCGTCTTGGGTCTGATGCCTGATACTTCTAAAAACAAAGCCGCAATTAACTTCGTTCTGTTACTTGCGAGATTCTACATTTGGCTTTGCAGAAGTAAAGGAAATATACCAACTATTGAAAATTTTAAGCCTTTTTTAAAACAATATAATAAAGAAATTGAACCTTTCCCTCTTTAGTAACCTTTTACCAGTTTGGGGTCTCTCGCTCTTTTTACACTTTCCTTCCTACTAGACATTCCCTTCCTATTTTCCTCGCTTCAACTTTCAAAGTATATAAAGCTAATTTCCGTGAATCAGCAGAGAAAATATCTTTAATCTCTTTTTTCTCCTTTGAGTTAGAACTACAGTTAACTAAAATTTGCCATACTTCCCACCCCCTTTTCTTTTTTTCTGTTTTTGTAGCGTATGTAATCCGTAATGTAAGTAGTGCAAGTAGCTGTTTTATATATGTAAAGCGTGGAGTATAGTACTTTTAGCAGTGTAAGCATCTCATTGTAAGTACGTATTGCAAGTTTTGTATTGTAAGTAGAGTATAGTATTGTTACTAGCGTAAGTATCTCACATTGTAAAGAAGTTTTTTTTTTTTGTAAGTAGAGTATAGTTCTGTTAGTAGCGTAAGTATCATACATTGTTTGTAAGTAAGTATTGTAAGTAAGTACCTTGCAATTGAAAAAAAAAAAAAATGATTGGTCACCACTTTTATTAATGCATGTAAGCAATAAACTGGCGCAGCCAGTCAAACAAACATTTGTCTTTTGTGCCCTAATTGCAACGCGAGTAACATCTGACTCGTCGACAGACTAGAGTTGTGTCTTGTCTCTCGTCAATAGCGTAACGTTACAATGTCCGTATTCACACTAGAGACGGGTTATCCGTTGGATGATTCACGTCAGACAGATAATGCATCTTAATTTAAAAATGGAACGGTCTTAATTTTGGATGGACAATCTGCCTGACTTTATTCATCTGTTTTTCCGCCAGTTTTGACGGATCTTGAAGATCAGGGGAAGATGGATTATCCGTCTCAGACGGATAATCCGTCTCTAGTGTGAAAACGGCCATTCTTAGCGGCCAATAAACGAATTCAAATTACCCTATTTTTATCCAACCGTTCGAAAGCAGTTCTTGGATTTTCCTCTGCTAAACACCTTAAAGAAGACTTTTTGAAACGGACTGTTATCTACTTTGAGGTCTGTCATTTCAAGCACGATTGCGGCTAAGTTCGCGCGTCAAATATTTATTTTTTATACGATTTTATGAAACACCTCCTGAAGTTACTACAGGACCAACGTTGATTAGTCACAATCCAAGTAATCAGGAGTTACATTCCAAATAATCGAAGCACTGTTAACAGCGATTGATAGCAGTCTAACAACCGGGCTATGTGATGAATTTCAATCACAGTATACAACCATCAATCGGCCTTTCCTGGACCCGCTCTAGCCTTCTAGAGTTTGATTGGCATTCCAAAAGTGCCGCACACTATGCTACAATAAGTAAGATGAGGAAGTATAGCAGCCTTAAACATAAAAATGCTGCAACTTAGCCTTTGTTGGGATAATATTTCGTAATCTCAGTATGACCCCCACTTTCTTACTGCTCTTTTTACAGGCGATACTGATATGATCTGAAAAAGATAATTCGTTGTCAATAGTAACACCGCAAAATCAAACAGTGTAATACTATTTCGCGCCGCTCAATGCTAAAGTGCTTGAGGTTGATATTTATCTGTCCTTTGTCTGTTCTACTAATAATCATATACTCGCATACTTTTTATAAACCCATGAGCCCGAAGCTTCAATAGTAACAGGGGATGGTGTAAACAGTCGAAGGCCTTACTCATGCTAGTTGATGTACCCCTCGTCACTTGGGCCGATAGAATCTTTTTAAACACTTTAACGTGATCTGATTTCTTGGTTTGCCCGTATGTTTGAAAATCATGTAGTCTGAGTCATGGGTATGGGTATGCCCTCGAGCTCGGTGGTAAACCCAGGCAAGATTATTAAGAAGCTATTTAACAGGAGCTTCGCTTTTAGGCTTTAAATTCATATACTGTATAAACTTTACTAATATCATAGATTCCAGCGACTTATCCAGACGTGGACAAATCTGTAACAAAAAGAGGGCTGCTGAGTGGAGCGAAAGAAGAGAAATTTTAGAAAACCGATAACGATGTACAATTATGGAACGTGATCTTTATTTTGCACTGCTGCTCTATAAAAACATCTTTGAAGAGCAATCTTAGTCTAACAAGAAGGCTCTATTATCTTCACTGAGCCTTTAATGTGAGCCTTAAAGTCGGGCCACTGGAACAAGTTCCCCACTCCGGTTAGACATGACTTGGACATGCGCTTGATTTCTTGCTCTTTTATGACGCGATCCCAGATATTAACATCTGTTAGCTCTCCAATGAAAGACTTTCTGGCATCAAAACGTCCTCCAACTGAGTCTTGCTCTTGACCTAGCACCAATGCTCCTCCGGGACGAATCATTTTACCTATGAAAATTACCGGAGAATTGAGAGATACCTTGAAATCGTTATCATCCTTCCCTTCACGGTATGCTACAAGAAATTGTTGCATGAATATTGTTATCCTAGGCCTTTCAAACTGAGACAAGCAATCAGAAATGTTTCACACAGCAAAAGGATAAACTCGCTCAGGTGAAAATTGGCATTTGAACTAATTACCTGTACGGCAAGTGGTCTAAATCGGACATCAAAGTTAAAAAAACGCAGCCTTAGTTATACTTGTCAGTATCATGTTAATATTTGAAATTTAGAATTATAACTATAGGCTAAAGCTGACTGAAAATTAATAAACTGAATTATGAATCAAATCCGAATTACGACTTCGATCAGTCTTTTCTCATTTATCATCATTCTTTAACAAAATGAATTTTTCAAACTAGTAATGATGATTATAGAAATGATATAGAGGGATAATTAATCGGGTGTAGGTCCTTTTATGTTACTAAGTCACCTGTTTCCAACCCTTTACCACTGGCTTCGACTTTACCGTCTTTATACAGCCTCCAATATCCAGCGGTATTCTCCCATGTAACACAGATATGATGCCATTTTCCGTCGTTTGCCGATACAGAAGTTCTCCTAATTAACAAATAGATTCCATGTTGCCGTGCGTCTGTTCAGTAATAGATCACAGATGACGTCAAAATGTCGTAAAAACAAAGAAGTGGCACACGAGCCGCAGGCGAGTGTGTCACTGTTGTTTTTACCACAGTTTGACGTCCTCTGTGATCTATTAATGAACAGACCCAAGGCAACATGGAATCTATTTGTTTTTTATACAATAACTGAGATTCTACGCGCATCGTTATCTACGCGCGCTGTGATTGGCCGATGCCTGTTATCTATTAGAGGACAGATGCACGAATGACGTCACTGCGTGGCGTGACCCACGCGCGTGATCAAAGTTCATAGCAGTCAGTCGTGCCGGCAAAGATTTTCAAAACTCCGGGCCAAAACAAAGCGAAAAATATTCAGCTTTAGTCGAAGACTTCAGTGAAAACGAAACCGCCGAATACCAATCACAGTGAGAGGCCTTTAATTCAGCTAAACATGCCAGAAGTCTGCCTGCAAAAAACTATCAAAAGCTGCTTGAAAGTTATGTTGTCGAAAAGTTTGCGGACGCCGCGGAAAATCCACGAATGCTGATGAATGGCAGCGATTGAACACTTTCAGTTGTAGCTTACTGAGTCGGATAACTCTCCAAATGAAATAAAGGCTAGTTTTTCCGTTGATGTTTTAATTTTGAATGCTTCTGTTTATTCGTCGGGTTAGCAGTTAAGTTTTTGTGACAGATTTTCGAAAACTTTATCGTGATTCAAACCCGGGAATGAAGCTGGAATGAATGGACGTTGGAAGGAAGCTTGTTTACCTCATCCGTGACGGCCTTGCTTAAGAACTAAAATTTTCTGTTATTGTATAAAACAAATAGATTCCATTTTGCCGTGCGTCTGTTCAGTTATAGATCCCAGAAGACGTCAAAATGTGGTAAGAACATGAGTGACCCACTCGGCTCCGCCTCGTGGGCCACTTTTCTGTTCTTACCACATTTTGACGTCATCTGTGATCTATGACTGAACAGACGCACGGCAAAATGGAATCTATTTGTTAAATACAATGATCAGAAAAGAAAAAGACCGATACACATACCTGCCTCGAACCGCTTGACCTTTTGAAGAATTTGTGCTAGTTTAGGCATTGTTTAAGTCCCAAACCCAACTTTTCATCTTAGCTTCTTCTTTATCTTACTTGTGTACAGTTTCTTCGAAAAGTTTTTGCACCGTCTTTTCTTGCTCAAAGAAGAATACTAGCGAAAACATTTTGCAAAACAGCGAGTCCCTCGTAGCGAAGACACACGACGGCAACTGTTGTGAAGATTTCTTGTAGTTTAGGCATTGTCAAGTGGTCAATAGCTTTTTTGGTCTCCGTTTCTCCATTTTTCTTCTTTGTAAATAGCTCCTGCTAAACTTTTTCCGAAGCTTTCACTTGCCTCAATCCGAAATAATCTCACAAACACTTTCAAAACCGCGTGCCATGTTGAACACAACAAAGAAAACAAGTTTCCCGTGACGTCATCCATGTAGCTGTACTCTAATAGATCATGGGCAACGACCAATCACAGCGCGGGTAGCATTCACATCATTGTAGAAAAAAGTAATAGCATATGATTCATGAATAAGTTTTTAAAAACATATCACCTCTACCAAATAATTCAATGCCTATCTCTGTTCTGATTTTAGCTTCTTTAGCTTGCATTGTGTATACCTTACGTTAATTTGCACTGCGTCCATAAATGGACGGTCTGAAAAAGTCCGCTACAAGGGCTGCAGTGTAGTCAGACACCGTCATAAGTTTCGGTTTGCACCGTTATTATCATCAAAAGCATATCTATACGATCTCTTGCATGTGGTAGACTGATTTTTCTCCGTACTGGTAAATTACTTTGTCGGTTTTTTTTTCCTATTTTAACTTCTTTCCTCGACTGCGTAATTATAGTCCTTCTTAACGCTTTCTTAAAAATGATTCTACCTGTCAGAGTTTCTCACATAGAACACAAACTTTCGGTAGTCACAAAGAACCAGTTCTTCATCTACTTGTGGTACGGCATAGTGCAGAGGTGTTCCCCAATTCCCTGTATCAGAGGTCTTCATCCAGAGACATGCTGTAACTCCTTTAAGGCTTGGCATTCCTCGCCTTATGATGGCATAATCACTGGTCCCTTTTCGCGGAAAATGCAAAGCGTACTTATTTGCTTTTAAGAGATATGAAGGAATTTTATAAGTAGAATTTTTCTTGCTGTACCGAAGTTATTAGTTTTAATGCATTGGTCAATTGCAATTGTCGAAAATTTATTAATAAATATGCAAGAGAATAATAAAAGCTGATCGAGTCATGAAGTGAAGGAAGTAAAAACATTTTAGAACTTTGAAGGAGAAACGAACTTTACTTTTCGGTTCAATTTGATTAACTTTCGAAAAAAAAAGATAAAAGATGATCTTTCTTAGTGAAATTCAAACTACTGGATCACATGAAAGTACAAAGACAAAAGTACCATCTCTTTCGAAAGACGATAATCTCTGAGAGATCGACATCAACTTCGCAAGTAGTTCTGCATTTGACTTGTTCATTTCTCTGTTGCTTTCCTTCAGAGCCGCAACCGTTTCGGACAAATAACTGATTGTTTTGTTCATTCCGACCCGTTGCCTTCTAATCTCGGCACTGGAGGAGTTTCGATTATCATCGAAGCCCTTGAGTTTCTTCCTTCTCCATTGTTCTGAACAAAGATTGTACGCTTTGGTTCATCACATTCAGGTTTCTTTCGATCTTCTCCACGGATTTCACCCTCTTATCCAAGGCATGTAGTTTGGTCAAAAACTTCATACTTCCTTTGTTCATTGACTGTCCTTTCGATGTGCCCTTGTCAACGAGATTAATTTTCGCCTCTCGCGCAGTAGACACAACAACTTCATTACGATCTCCCGAAATGAAAACTTTCCCATCAGAACCTGTTACGTTGGTTTTAGTGGACAATACGGTTTTGAAAACAAAAGCAAAACAAAGATAGAAGCGAATAAACTTTGAAAGCCGCATTTCGGCGGAATGATTCAAAAGTTTGAAAAAAGAAAGATGCCTCAGTTCTAAATTTTTTTGAAAAAAAAAATGTCTTGTGAGCTTAACAAACATTTTTTCCCGAAATGAATACCAATTACGTAAAGGCCAATAGCCAGCTGAATAGCTGGAAAGTCGAGGTACAAGTGATAACCATTTGACTATTTTGAGCTAAACTATGGCTGTCCAACTGCGCTGGTCGCTTAACAAGGCCGAATTAGCCTCGCACGAGGGCTATAGCTATCTCTACTAGAAGGGTTTGCGAAAGGAAGGGCTGCTTGTTTTTTATGTGTAACACAAGCTGCACTCCATAATTATGCGTAGACAATTCTTCAACAATAAAATTAACTTTTAATATCTATTTACAGTCTTGACATTTTGTCACTGTACTGTTTGATTTCTGTTAAAAATTCACGACTGTCTGATATCATTTGCATCCGAAATTGCCGCCCTGATGATACGATCGATATATAAATTAAACTGATTGTTGAACTCTCGACAGCAAGTTACTGATACTGTGCAACGTCATCAGATGATTTATACTTACTTAAACTCTAGCGAGGCTATGTGAAAAAGGAAAGTGTTACGGAGTAATTGACCTAAAACAACAAAAAAACAACTTATTTGTCTTGAAGAAATAGAGCTTAACCACAAGCGAATTAAGGAAAGAGCTCCAAATGACTGCCCTTTGTTAGCCTCGTTAAGCACCGATGATCAAAGTCTTGGTGCGTCTGTTTGTGACCTTTTATCTTCCCCAATGAGAATGATGAAAAGAATATATTTAAAAAGCAACTTCAAAATGATACAGTCACACTGACGCCATTTGCATTACTCTGTGCCGTTGTTATCATTTTTGATTTTCTATCATATCTGTCTTGTTTTGTTTTTTGTTTGTTCGTACAATTCTTCATCCCCCACTGGGAAAAGTGGACCACTATAATACCCACTTCTGCTTGATAGATAGATAGATTTAGATATATGTTTTCTTTAACCTGCTCAATTCAACATACTATGATACAGATAAAATTTACATTAATACAATTTAAATAAGTAATAAAATAATAACTTCAAGTAGAGAGGAAGACCCCAATAGAATACAATTACACACAAAATTTAGAATATACTATTTTTATAAAAAGTATTTCTTCTAGAGCTAAGGCAGACAATGAATTAATGTAACAATGAAGCGTAGAATTCTTCAGAGCTTTACGAACAGTCTAAGAGAATCTGATTTAGTAATACTTAGGGGGGCAAGGCATTCCAAAGTCGAGAACCAGTGAATTTTAGGCATGTATAACGGCAATTTTTTTTTCTTTCGTCTCTTCATATTGATTGTTTTATGCCGTTCATTTTCCTTTACATACTTTAAAATGTTACCAGAGTCTTGCTTGCTTGCATTTGATGGAATTGGCCTACACTTCTACATTAATTGCTGAGAATCCTCCTGTTAGTCAGTCATAATTCTTTTGGCGCAGATACATTCCGTTTTGTTTTTCTTGAGATAAGAAGGTCTTTGGACTGAAGCGCGATGTCACAAATTCCACCGTTAGCAAATTACTTTTGAGTTAGCTTCACGGTCGAGCAACTGTTGTCTTCTGTTCAACTTTTCAAGTGCCAGTTTTGTCAGGCAACTCTCATGGTGATACAAGTCAGTTGTAAAGGAAGACTGCCATTTTTCTCAAGCATTCCTTCTTAGTTGCTACTAATAGGTCATCGCTTTTGCACACGGTGCTTAACTGGCGAAATCCACTCCACGGCGATGACAAAAATCAAATAATGCTGGCACTTTTTCGGCGCTGATCATCGAAAAGTTTCAAATCGTCCACAGAACGCTTAATCGTCAACTCTTTTCAAGGTGCGTGCTTAAATGTGGGATGTATGACGGCAAAAAAAACCAAAACCAAACACTCGCAAAGAACCTTTCCGTGATCCTCAGTTCGCTGCCTTTGCCTTTGTCCCATCGCTTCATGCTCAG